GCTTCTTCTGCCGCTAGCTCTTTTGTTGGAGGCTGAATTATTAGTAGAAAGTCTTCATTCCCTTAAAAATCTAGTTCACAGTAGCCATGTGGAACCTTATCCTGAAGGCCCGTGGCTTCTTCTGCCGCTAGCTCTTTTGTTGGAGGCTGAATTATTAGTAGAAAGTCTTCATTCCCTTAAAAATCTAGTTCACAGTAGCCATGTGGAACCTTATCCTGAAGGCCCGTGGCTTCTTCTGCCGCTAGCTCTTTTGTTGGAGGCTGAATTATTAGTAGAAAGTCTTCATTCCCTTAAAAATCTAGTTCACAGTAGCCATGTGGAACCTTATCCTGAAGGCCCGTGGCTTCTTCTCCCATGTTACCATTTTTCCACCCGAGGGCTGGCTCTACCAAGCAGAATATGCTTTCAAGGCTATTAACCAGGGGGGCCTTATATCAGTAGCTGTGAGAGGGAAAGACTGTGCAGTGATTGTCACACAGAAAAAAGTTCCTGACAAATTACTGGATTCCAGCACAGCGACTCACTTGTTCAAGATACCTGAAAACAGTGGCTGCGTGACGACAGGAATGAGAGCCGACAGCCGATCCCAGGTACAGAGGGCACGCTGAGGCAGCTAACTGGAAGTACAAGTGTGGCTATGAGATTCCTGGGGACGTGCTGTGGGAAAGAATTGCTGATATTTCTCAGGTCTACACACAGAATGCTGAGATGAGGCCTCTTGGTTGTTGTACGGTATTAATTGGTATAGATGAAGAACAAGGTCCTCAGGTGTACAAGTGCGATCCTGCAGGTTACTGCTGTGGGTCTAAAGCCACTGCGCAGGAGTTAAACAAACTGAGTCAACCAGTTTCCTTGAAAAAAAGGTGAGGAAGAAATTGGATTGGACATTTGGAAGGACAGTGGAAACTGCGATTACATGCCTATCTACTGTTTTGTCAATTGATTTCAAACCTTCAGAAATAGAAGTTGGAGTAGTTAGGGTTGAAAATCTTAAAATCAGGATTCTTACAGAAGCAGGGATTGATGCCCCCCTTGTTGCTCTAGCAGAGAGAGACTCAGCATTGTCATTAGTTTACCAAATCCATGCTGCACTTGCTGTGTGTTTGGTGACAACAAACCAACATATGGAGGCCCCAGGATTGTAAAAAGAACCTCTTCCACTCCTCCTGCTGCTGAAGTGGTTAGGACTCTGTATAAATAAAAACAGTGCTTTTGGGAAAAAAAAAAAGAAAGAAAGAAAAGAAAAGAAAAGAAAAGAAAAAAGAAAAAGAACAGGGCTCCCAGCACCCTGCCCCTGCTGTGGGCTTAGTGAGAGTCTGGGAGGCAGTTTTTGGTATATCTGGCAAAATATCAAAGGCCATCTAACTCCATGACTCCGCTCCAGGGATCTAGCCTCTTAGAAATACGAGAATATGTACTATGTACATAAAGATACAGGGTAAAAGATATTCAGTGACACGTCCTTTATATTGAGAGACTAAAGAAAATAATCCACACGTCCCTCAATAGGGCATTGTCTGGATAAATAACAACACATCCTTTCATGGGATATTTTACAACTTTTTTTTTTTTTTTTTTAGAGAGAGATTTCTGCTTTAAGGTGTGTGTACTCATCAGAGAGACAGAGACAGTGAGAGGGAAAGTGAGAAATCACCCCCACACACAGGGGAAATGACCATGCCACAATCCCTTCTCCTTCATTCTCCTCTTAAGATTTTGGGAATGTATGCCCATGCACCCAGCATGAGTTTCAAGCCTCTGGGGTCTAGGACTCAAATTGCTGTTGGCCGTGTTGGGAGTCAAGCACCTTAACCACTGTGCCACCTACTGGCCCAATATTTTACAACTCTTAAAAGGAATGAAGTGGATTTACATGTACTCATATAGAATGAGCTTCAAGATTTGATGTTATAACTGAGATCAATGTGAACATGGAAGAAAATCCCAAGAATATCTATGATTAGATCCCATGTCCACGTGTGTGTATCCGAACATATATTAGAGAGGGAGTGCATAGCATAGGCAAGGAAGGGTCTCCAAGCTGAGGGCACTGGACCCATTGGGAAGGTAGGAGTTCCGTGTTTTACTTTGTAAATTTAATTCCTTTGGGCTCTATTAAAAGAAAGCATTGTATATGACTGAATTTTTAACTTCAAATTCAAAATATTAGGGAGCCAACTAGCTCTGAATTTCAAGACCTGACGAACATCCTGCCACCATGTGTGAGAGATTCTTAACATCCTTGAAATTAATCCTTCTGACCAGCTCATCTGGGCATCCTAATCCCCATGAGGGGTTATTCAAAATTTGAATCCAGGCAGGCTTCTAGCCTAGTGGTTAATGCAGCAAGATCCCATGTGGACAACTGCAGTTCAAATCCTGGCTCCTTGGAGGCTTAAAAAACACAGCAGGCACATGTGTACACAGGCCCACAATCCTGACAGGATGAAGAGTTGGAGGAGAATGGATTGTGGTGTGATCACACCCCATGGGGTGGTCACCTCCTCACTCTTTCTCTCTGTCTCTCTCTGGCCAGCTAACATCCTCTGGCAAAGAAAAATAAAGAAAAGAAATTCAGGTCCAAATCTCTGTCACAGATCCTCTGACTCGGCATCAGAATTTCGGTGCCTCAGGCTGCTGTCTCTGAGGAGGAAGTGAGACGTGAGGATTACTGGTTCGTGCGGTGACCGCACTGGGCAACTGCACAGCCACAGCCAGAAACGGAGAAAGCAGGCAGGCAGGCCTGATGCGCAAGGGCTCCAGTGAACGCTCCCGGGGACTCCTGAAGATAGAGACACTCTCCCGTGATAAAGGCACCACTTGCAACCCAGCCAGGCACTCAGGGCTCTGCGACAGATGTGTGAGGGCTGCAGCATCTGCTCTGTGTTTTCACTAAAACTTATGTTTTTCCCTTGTCGGATGGGCGTGCCCTGTGGGTGAAGTTTTGCCTACTGTGTTCTAAACTAGAGGGAAGTGGGGGGTTACTTTCAGTTCGCTGAAAAAGCCCACCCAGCTTACTTAGAATGGAGAAAGATAACCGGGCTCTCAGGGACTTGATGTTTATTATTATCTAGGGACTGAGTTCTGTTCTATCAAGTCAGTGAGAGAATAAGTCTGTTCTATCCAAGTCAGTGAGAGAATAAGAGGACATCAGTTTTAGCCAAATGAAAGGAGTCTTTATTAGCCAGCTGACTGCAGGACTTGAGTCATTCCCAAACCTTGCAGCCCTGAAGCAGGGCTTGAATTATGCTTGAGCAGTTTACGAAAACCAAAAGAGTGAGTTATCGAGAAGAATAGCTATTTTGGGGGGAAGCACATATGAGTCAGGTCACAGAGAAAGGAGAATGGCGAAGGCTGATCCAAAATGGAGGTGCTCATGCTTCAGCTGCAGAGGTATCATTACTATTGATAGGTTCAAAGTCTGACTCTACAGGGACCAGCAGATGGTGAAATGGTTATGTCGCTGACTTCCACGTGACTGACAGTGGTTTGAGTCCTGGACCTGGAGGCTTGAAACTCATGCCACCGCACATGAGTACATGCCCAAAATCCCAAGAAAAAAATGGAGGAGAAGGGACTGTGGCATGGCCATCCCCCTGGTAGGTGATTTCTCACTTTCTGTCTCTCTGTTTCTCCAGTAAGTGCATGCATTGCCCTAAAGCAAAAAAAAAATAATAAAATAAAAATCTTAAGGAAAAAAAAAAAGTCTGACTCTCCATTATAGCAGCTGTGTGACTATCCGCAAGGTTCTTAACCATTCTGGACCTCAATTTCTTGATGTGCAGAATGGATGTAGTGGTGCGTCCGTTGGGGGATTGCTGCAAAGGTCGAAGAGGTGGTGTATGCAGAAGTGACGTAATCAAAGCTTAGCTGCTGTTTATTAATGTTATGGTGGTTACCAGACGTGAACAGCTTGAGAGAGAGAGATCCGATATGTGAATGTGAATTATTTCCCTGCCCTTCCCCTCCCCCAGAGTCTGCCTACCGCTGTCTAGAACAGGGGATAAGCATTTGCTGAACACAGATTTTGGTCCTATCAGGGCTCTGGGCCTTTTCTTGTCTTTTACTATTGTACAAGTCTGTCAGTTAAGGTAACTGACAGTAACACAAAATAATTCTTTCGTGTAGACTGTTACACATTCTCTGCCTGTTAGGTTCAACCGAGGCCCCTCCTCCTCACTGGCTGGAAGAAGCTCGTTTTTGCCTCCTTTTGCACATTCATGTCAGCTTTCCTGAGTTGTAACTGTTCTTTGGACCGGTTGTCAAATCTTACTCGTTCCTTCATAGAGGAGCTATGTAAAATCTTTGCACATGTTCATTTTATATCTGTGTGAGAGTCGTGATTTTACCTTTTTTTTTTTTTTGAAAGCTATCTTTCTTTTTAAAAACTGCTATGTGGTGTTTGTACTCACCGGAAAGAGACAGACAGAGAGAGAGAGAGACCTCCCCAGGGTGTGGAGTGCTGCACTTCAGCACCCCAGGGTGTGGCATGGCCACACTGCAATCCCTTCTCCTCCATTCTCTCTAGACTGGGGGCATGCACACACATGTGCCCCAGTGTGACTTTCAAGCCACACTCAGCCACGTGGGATTCAGTGGCCTTGGTCTCTGCCACCAACTGACCTGAAACCTATCTGTTACTATTGCTATTACTCCTTCACCAGGACAGTTTCAACAGAAGGCAGACGCCACTCTTAGGTACCCCCTCAGGGACACACACTGTCCCTTGTAATCAGAGTTCATGTCTTATTGGAGGGTAAGGAAAAACTTCCACGTCAGCATTGCTGACCCTGGGCCTGGCCGCAGCGGACATAGAAGGCACTTACTTGTCTCTCAACTTCAGTCTGCCAGTCTGTGGAACAGCTCCTAACAGCCCTAGACCCCCAGGCGAGGCCATCTCTAGACGGTCCCTTCACGCTCATCCCCTCCCACTCTGCGCCCAGGCTCTCCAAAGATGAGCGGGGGATTCTGAGGGCGCCCCCTTCCTGGGGAGGCACGCGGGTCGGCACCGCGGCCCCTCTGCCCCTTGGGTCTCTGGGCTCTGTGCTGCCCAAGGGGTGCCGAGGGGCCTCTGGAAAGGGCGGGTTCGCTCGAGCCAGAAAGCCTGGAGCCGCCCAGGAATTTTGGCAGGGGTTGCGAGCATTTCCTCCCGGCCGGCCAGGCGTGATCCCGGGAAGGGCGGCTTCAGGCAGACTCCGCGCTCCGTTCCGCCCGGCCGGCACCATGTGGCCCCTGCTCTGCGCGCTGGCGGGGCTCACCCTGCTCCGCGCCGTGGGCACCTTGGCCGGTGAGTGGGGCTCGAGCGAGGGCGGGGCATTCGGGGAGACCCGCCGATGGGGAGGCAGGAGTGAGTGGAAGAGATAGAGAGATAGATAGAGAGAGAGAGAGAGAGAGAGGAAGAAGAAGAAGAAAAGAAGAGATGGAAACAGGGAGATGGAGGGAGAAATGGAGGAGAGAAAGATGGTGAGAGAAAAAAGAAACAAACAGAAAAAAATAGGAAGAGACAGAAAATAAAGACCAAGGAACAGAGAGATAAAGGAAAGGGAAGAATAAAAAGAGAAAAGAGGCAGATTTAGAGGCTTTGCAAATAAATAGACATGAAAGAGGACAGAAGGCAAAGGAGTCTGAGAGAGAAGAGAGAACAAGGAAAGAAAAAGAGGAACCAAATTCAATAGCATGAGGAAGAAGAGGGAGAGAGCTGACGGCAGGGGCAAGAGAGACGTGAGAGAGAACAGAAGGCAGAGAGTGGAGAACCCAGAGGCTGACGCCGAGGGAGGACACCCAGATCTGAGGGAGGGGGTCCCGTCTGTAGGGTGGGGCAGCCCTCAGGCTTGCTCCATGCCAGAGGCCAGCGGAGCTGCCAGGCGTGGCTTCACAGGGCATTGCGTGGGAAGTCAAGCTCTAAAGGGCAAAGGACCCAGGCCAGGCCCCACACAGCTGTTTGGAATTCAGGCAGGCATCTCGGGGAGGCCATGCTCCACCTATTTGCTGAGTAACCCAAGGGGGTTCTGCAGTCTGGATGGGAGGCCAGCCTCCAGGTCTCCGGAGAGCTTCCCTGAGGGCCTGAGCTGCTTTGGGTAGGAGTGTGGGAACCTGCGGGAGGGAGGGGCTGCCTGGGTGCTCCTGACTGGGTGCTCCCCTGGCTGGGTTCCTTGTCTTGCACTGTCCCCTTTAGCACGGACCTCCAAGTAGTCTTACTGCTGCCACGTCACAGGGAAGGCGAGCTGGAGTGCCTCATGGCAGGTACCTTACTGGGCTCGGACCTGTACCTGAATTGCTGCTCGTGGCCCAGCACTGCACAGTCCACAAGCCATACTTCCCAGCTGTCCAGGACAGGGAAGAGCTTAGTTATCAAGGGGGTGCCAGTGCATCCAGGCTTCTTGTCCCATCTGGCAGAAGTGCCTTGTGCTGAGAGAGAAGCCCTGAGTCCCCTTCAGGGCCCAATGAACTACGGAGTGAGCACTCAGGGTAAGGATCCAGGCCAGCCCTGATCCGGGGAGCCCCTACCCACTCTGTCCCTGTGCAGCTGCTTCTTCCTCTGTAAACTGGCAGGGCTGGCTTCAGAGATGGATGAGAGAGCAAGTGCCTAGCAGGGCATGCACACCCACACACCCTCTGTTCTCTCAGACAACTCCACTGATGGCTCTGAGCCTCAGTTTCTCCACCTGTAAGAACGATCAAAAGCACTTTCTTGGGCCAGCAGGTGGTGGCAGACTCCCACATGGTTAATGGTGGTTTAAATCCTGAATCCGGCAGCTTGAAACTCACGCCAAGTGTGTGTGCATGTGTACCCAAGATCCTAAGAAGAGAATGAAAGAAAAGGGAGTGTGGCGTGGCCATCCCCCTGTGGGGTGATTTCTTGTTTTCTGTCTCTGTGTCTCTATCTCTGGAGAGTGCACTCACCCTATTAGCAAAAATCTCTCTTAAAGAAAAAAAGGGGGACCAGCAGATGGCATGCTGTTATTACCACAGCATGGTTATGTTGCTGGACTCCCACATGGCCAATCGCAGTTCGAGTCCTGGGCCTGGAGGCTTGAAACTCTAAGGCACGTGTGCATGTGTGCCCAAAATCCTGAGAGGAGAATGGGGGAGAAGGGATTGCAGAGTGGCCATCTCCCATGGGGAGTGATTTCTTGTTTTCTGTCTCTCTGACTCTCTGGCAAGCACATGTGCCCTATAGCAAAACTCTCTCTTAAAAAAAGATGAAAAAAAACAAAAAAAAAAACCACTCGCTTTCTTGCAGGCTGCAGGGGGAGTAGCTGGGACTCTGTCCAGCACCGAGCCTGGCCCACAGGCCATGGCCTCCCTTGTACCCTGGCTCAGCCGCCGGCTCTGGAGCTGAGAGCACAAAGCAATGCTGTGCAGCACGCCGGCCCCCGGGAGGAGCGAGCAGCCACCACAAGTGACTGACTCCCCATGGCCCCTCGGTTCCCATCTGGTGTAGTGTACACTTTAAACCCATTTGTTAGCATTATTTTTTCCTTTTGATCATGTATGCTCATTGCTACAGATTTGGGGGGGGGGGCATCAATGAACTGATGTAATTTCACACTGATCTCATACATTTTTGTCCTTAACCTTTTAGATTTTAGACAATATGCTATTGCTTTTCTTGACTCTTATTTATGAAAACCTTTGCTTATGAAAATAGACTGCAAAATAAGAGTATATAGTAATAGAAAGGGATAATGCACTTTTGAACCCGCTTCCACAAGGATCAGTTCGCGACCAACCTCATTTTTTCTACAGTCTCTCCCCTCTCTCCCCTCCCTGGTGAGGGACATACGAGTACTGGCCTCACAGAAAGAATTAAATGAGATGATGCATGCAAGCACTCAACAAAAACCTTGGCACACGATAAGTGGCCACAAATCCGTAGCAGCTTGGAGTGTAGAGGCTGGCTATGCCCATTCTAAAGTAAAGAAACCAAGGATGCAAAGGTGACAGAGAACCCATTAGGGTCAGTGCTGAGCCTCTTGATGGTGAAAGCTCTCCCAAGCATTCTTGAACCCTTGTACTGTCTCCTGGATGGGTTTAGTCCGAGAGCAATTGCCGCTGCATCTGAGGAGACCTGGTCAGAGTGACCTAGCAAAGAGCACTAGGCTCCTTATGGAGGGGAGGTCTTGGTCTGAGCTTCACTGACTTGCTGGCTCAGTGCCGTCAGCTCCCTGAGCCTCAGTCTCCTCACCTGGCAAATGCCCCTGCATGACACTTGCATGTCTCCTGGCAGTTCCAAGACATCTTCAAGGGCAGGATCTCCTCTGATCACCACTGCAGTGCCACAGAGTTGGCAGGGCAGGGCAGATCCCATACAGATGAAAAAGTGGGTGAGAGGCAAAGAGCACACAGCGAGGAGGGAATGGGATTACGTCTCTGACTTGCAACCGTGTGTTGTTTCCAGAGCATGTGAAGAGAGGTTTCTCCTGGATGGCTTTTTAGACCTCCTCAGCCTCCTATAGGGTATTTGTGCTCATCAAAGAGACAAAGAGACAGAGGGACAAAAAGCAAGAAATTACCCTCCCCCCGGGAGGATGACCATGCTGCAGTCCCTTCTCTCTTCTCCTCTTGGGATCCTAGGCACGCATCCACACATGCCCAGTGTGAGTTTAAGTCACCAGGACAGCTATGTGGGAGTCCAGTGATTTAACCATTATGCCATTGATAGTGTGTGTGTGTTTTTTTAAAGAGAGATTTTGCTAAAGGCCGCATGCACTCACTGCAGAAACAGAGAGAGACAGAAAGTAAGAAATCACCCACAGAGGGGATGGCCACACCACAGTCCCTTCTGCTCTAGTCTCCTCTTGGGATTTTAGGCATGCGCACATACGCACCGGGCATGAGTTTTAACTGACCGGTCTGAGACTTAAACCATGGTTGACTACGCGAGAGTCTAGCAACATAACCATTACACCATCTGCTGGTCCCACCACTGATAGTTTTGATTCACAAACTTTTATACAAATATTTGTGGTAAAATTTATCATTTCACTATATTGAATGTGATCAAATATAATTAAGTGCCAAATGGCCAGCATTGCTGATCAAAGCAGAGTGTAACTTATTTATTTCTTTTTCTAATTGCCAGAGGGTACATGCGCTCACTACAGAGGTTTGAAGAGCCAGAAAGAGGGAGAGGGAAAAAGCAGTCCAACAGGGTGTGGTCATTCTGCAATCCCTCCTCCTTCATTTCTTCATCCTGTAGGGATTTGGGGCATGTACACAGACACACACACACACACACACACACACACACACACCCCTGGCATGTTTTTCAGGCCACTGGGGCCAGGATTCCAACGACGGTTGGCCAAAGTAGAATGTAGCTCCCTTAACCACTGGGCCACAGGGCCAGTCCAGCAGAATATAATTTTAATGGATGAGTCAGAAGGTACAGCAGTACCTTTGAGAGTCAACACTGAGAAATTTCTCATCGCTCATGTGCAAGAATCATTTGAGTTGTGGGCGCTTTCTTGCTGTTTGGCTCCCAGATTAAAAAAAAAAAAAATTCTCCCTTTAAGTTCTCTAAGTAGGAGGGGGCTGTACTTTTAGCCTCCCAAGACCATCTGAAAGGTCATCTCCCTCTCGGTCTGTAGGTTCCACCCGGCAACCTACCCTCATCAGGGGGATGCTTCTCCACCCATGGCCCCCATGGCCACCGTCCAGGGTGCATATCAAGCTCTAAGCAGGAGCCAGGCCAGAGAAAACAACACGGCCTCCAAGAAGGTCCCTTTCCCAACTGGCAGGGCAGTGAGGGTGGTGGAGGGGGGAGAAAGGAAGCGAGCATTGGGAACCACAGCCTTCACCATTTAGTGCTCCGGCCTTTCCCATTCCTCTTGTTTGAGCTTCCTGACCACCCCATGTCAGGCACAACCTCCGCAGAAATGGAAGGTGCCCGGTTTTTGCTTTGTGGGAGTTCCTGATCCAGGAAGCAATTTCACCCCAGTTCTGTCTTTGTAGCTGTTTTGAGGACTCTCAGCAGGATAAGAAAGACAAAGAATCACAGAGGAGCTACGTAGGGGAGGCAGTGCCGCAGGGCCTGTTCCACCCCATTTCACAGAGGAGGCAGTAGAGGCCCAGGGAGAGGATTTCTCACAGTCCCCCACCAGTTAGTGAGTGAGCCAGGCTGAGAAAGGGGGTCTCGGATGCCATAATGTGTTCAGGTCAATGCCATGGCGAGGACCCATGGTGGGGGAGGGAGTGGGCAAGGCTGGGTAGTTGGCAGGCCTGACTCCATGCTTTCCCTCTCAGAGGAGCTGGGCCGAGGCCTGGACCAGCTCGTGGACAGTTGCTCTGAGGAGCACAGGGCTCAGTTCTGTCCAGCTGGGAGGGATTAGTGTTGTGCTGTGTGAGAGCAACCTCAGCCCAGCCTTTTCTCTGGAGGGGTTTTGAAGCCAAGTTAGAGCTCATCACAGACACGTAGAGAACAGAGTGTTTTCAGCTGACAGAGTGGAGCAGATTCATGATGTTCGTGACTTCTGAAACGGGCAGATCCGCTCACCCACTGGATCACATTGCTTCCCCTCCACCTAACTGACAGAATGGCTTTCAAGACACAGAACAAAACAGTATTTACTGAGAAACAGAGGTCAGGGTCTGGGCGAGGCAGAAGCTTAGGAGAAAGACTTGGCCAAAGCCTGCTGCGTGGAGCCTGCAAATGTGTGTGCACTCTGAAGGGCCGTTTTCAACTTCCCCTCTACTCTCTGAATGGTTGATGAGTTGAGTCTGTAGAATCAATAACAGTAGCCAGTTAGCAGGTGAAGAAGCATATTGATTTTTTTTTTTTTTTGGAGAGATTTTTGCTATAGGGCATGTGCGTTCTCCAGAAAGACAAGAGAGAGACAGAGAGACAGAGAGAAATCACCCCCCGGGGGGATGGCCACACCGCAATCCCTTCTCCTCCATTCTCCTCTCAGGATCTTGGCCATGCATGCACACGTGCCTGGTGTGAGTTTAAACAACTGGGTCCGGGACTCAAACCACGGTTGACTGCATGGGAATCCAGCAACATAGCCGTTACACCAACTGCTGGTCCCAAAACATATTGATTTTATACATAAATATGCGCAGGGGGCCCACAGCATCTGAGACCAAGAAGAGCCAATGACTGAAGTTTTCTCCTGTACAGAAAGGAATGGGGGCTCAGGGACTCCTGGAGTTGATGGACAAGCTATGAGATGGGGCGTGGAGGGGAGGGAATGCACTGTGAACTAAGGCTGTTGTCCTATTATGCAGTCTCTCAATGACAGCCTTCAGAGGAATGGGTGATAGTTCATTCTGTCTGGGCAAGGTGTGACCGCTAATCTCTTCCGTGAGCCTCTAATCTCTTCTGTGAAATGATTTTCCTAGATCCGATAATCTCTGAGAAAGCCTCTGCCTGTATCCTTATTGACTTGACTAACATACAGAGATGTAAATTTATTCTACCACAGGATAGTTTTTCAGGGTTATTCCTATCTGCCATTTCTCTGAAAAACCAGCTCGAAATATGATGAGTGTATTTTGAGATTGGATATTCTGGTCTCACATGGGAAGACAGCCTCCCTGGTGAGAACAGCTCCTCCCGCCCGCCCCCTCAAAGTCTTTCCTCCCAGGCTGAGCACCTCAGTTTCAGTTGAAACAAGTGAGTCAAAGTTTGGCATCCCCACCCATGGCCACCTCCAGATCCGCTCCTGCCTATCAAAGACTTCAGTTTGTGTGGCCAAGAATGGGGCACAGCCCTCCGCCTCGTCTCCCATTCTGGATATTTTACACTGATACCGGTTGCTCAGGGTGGCTGCTGCTTTTTGCGGACAGCCCATTGAACAGTGGCTATTACTGTGAACATTTTCAAACCATGTGCATAAAAGTAGAGAGAAAATGGGGTCAGCTGATGGCACAGTGGTTAAGGTGCTGGACTTTCATGTGACTGGTCATGCATTGAGTCCTGAACCCAGAGGCTTAAAACTGACGCCAGATATGTGTGTGTGCGTGCATGCCCAAAATCCCGAGAGGAGAATGGAAGAGAAGGGATTGCTGCGTGGCCATCCCCCCGGGGTGTGATTTCTCGCTTTCTGTCTCTGTGTCTGTCTAGTAAGGGCACATGTCCTAATAACAAAAATATCAAAAAAAAAAAAAAGTAGAAAGAAAAATCAGATGCACCAGCACGTGTTCATCACCCAGCTTTGACCACGAGCACCTCTTGGTCAGTCTTGTACCCACCTATGCCTCTTGCCATCCTACCCCCAGGCTTGGATTAAGCCACAACATCATAGCATTTTCTCTGTAAATATTTCAATCTGGGTCTCTAAAAGACTTCCTTTAAAATTTTATTATTTATTTATTTATATTTATTAATTTTTGCTAGAGGGTGCCTGCACTCGCCAGAGAGAGAGAGACAGAGAAAGGGTGAGACAACACTCCTTCCCTGATGGGACACGGTCTTGCTGCAATTGCTTCTCCTTCATCTCTCTCTCCTTTCAGGGCTTGGGACACATACACATGCACCCTTGTGTGTTTTTCAAGCCAGCCATGTGGGATCCAGCCACCTTAACCACTGGGCCAAGGAGCCGGCCTAAGACTCGCTTTTTGAAAAATAACCAAAGTGCCATTATCATGTCCTATGGCTTTGCTTTTCCTTCTTGTCTTTCTGGATCCTTGAACTTTTAGCTGGTCTTTCCATCCTCTGTGGAATGTGTAAGGCTCTTGTACTCAGCTGGGCTTCTGGGACAGCACCAGCCTGAGTTAGCGTTTTCCAAGGTGCTAGCCAACGCTGATGCCCTGCAGGTATCTCAGAGCCACCAACTCTGAAACTTGAGATCACAACCAGGGCCCTGAAATTTCTGGTGTGAAGGTTGGTGGTGCCAGGAAGAACCAACATTGTGGAGAAAAATAACGAATCAAGATGAAGCAGATTTAACATGCCAAGGCACATGTGCGTTTGTGCCCAAAATTCTGGTGGGAAGTAGAAATAGAGGAAAGGGATTGTGGCATGACCATGCCCTGTGAAGGGGCAGGGTTCTCTCTCTCTCGTGAGTGTGCATTTGAAAAAAAGAAAGAAAACAAGGAAACAATTTAATTATTGAACAGGTTGAATCTCAGATCTTATCAACCCTGTGTGTCAATGTCCTCACATTTAAGCTGGGAAAAACTAGATTTTGGGGTGTTCGTATTAACGCATTTGCTTAGCACACTACCTGATGCATGGTAGTACTTAAAAAACGTCAGCTATTACTAACTTCCCCTCTAAAATATCAACATTCATTTCCTTTATTCCTACACCGACTTTCTGCATTCGTCATTGCTCCTCCATCACTTCTTATTTTTTATTTATTTTTTATTTTGAGAGGTTTTTGCTATAGGGCGTGCACGCTCACCGGAAAGACAGAGAGAGACAGAAAGCGAGAAACCAATCCCCCGGGGGGATGGCCATGCCGCAAACCTTTCTCCTCCATTCTCCTCTCGGGATCTTGGGCACACACGCACACGCGCCCGGAGTGAGTTTAAGCCCAATGGGTCTGGAATTCGAACCACGGTCCACTACATGGGAGTCCAGCGACATAGCCATTACACTAACTGCTGGTCCCCATCACTTCTTATTTTGACTACTATAGTAAACTCCTGCCTTTAAAGATGTGTCCCTCCAATCCATCCTCTGAATGAGACTTCAAAAAGTTCATGGAGGGACCAGCAGATGGCGTAATTGCTGCGTTGCTGGACTCCCATATAGTTGACCGCCATTCAAGTCCTGGGCCCGGTGGCTTAAACTCATGCTGGGCACGTGTATGTACATGCCCGAGATCCCGAAAAGAGAATGGAGGAGAAGGGATTGCAGCGTGGCCATCCCCCCCGAGGGGTGATTTCTTGCTTTCTGTCTCTCTGGTGAGTGCATGCACCCTATGGCAAAAACCTCAAAAAAAAGAAAGTTTATGGGAAAGTGGAATTAAGTAAAATTTTATTTTGGTACAGAAAAGTTTGAAAATCCGTGCATAGGTTTTTTTTTTTCATAATATGCATTTTCCATGGCCTTTCTGAGGACCCTGTGTGTTTTAAAAATTACATTGACTCTGACTCTTCTGTTAAACCCCCAAACATCATAATTGATTTTTTAAGGCTCTGGGAAAAGTTCTAGTCCCTCAGCTTTTTCCAGGATTCCTCTCTTCAGTCTCATCTCCCACCCACTCCAGACTTGCCAGCCACTCCCAACTCCCCGGAGGGATTGTCCGCCTGCTATTTCACACCTCTGTCTTCTGCATGTGCACTTCTCCCTGGCTGAAACTTTTCCTCTTTCCTTGACCTTTCCCAGCTTGGGCATCGCCTCTGTCTGTGTCTGTAGGTGACCACGGCCGGCCGTAATGAGTGAGGAGGGCAGGGCTGACTTGCATACTGTCCAATGCCTGAGCCCTTCTCCTGCTGGCTGCTTTGGACCCGCCGCACTGGAGCTCTGTGTTTTCTAGGAATATCTGCTGTTACAGGGAAACTGAGGGCCCACATTAACAAAACTCGTCTTCCCACAGCTGCCGAACCCTTCAGCCCCTCCCAGGGAGACCCAGCTTGGAGCACAGGGTGTGACAGACACCTGGCTATCCAAGGCCGTTTAGACGTCATGGAGGAGGTAATAAGGTGATCTGGGATGACACCTGTGTAGCTGCATGACCACCTGCCAGTCAGGGGGCTCTCCCCCTGCAGACACAACCATGCTCTGGAATGTTGAGAAATCCAGGCCAATCCTGCCCTCCAGCCATCACGTTAACCACCCTCCTGCCCCATTTGGGTTGCTCAACTTGGACGCTTCCTCCCCTGGGGCCTTGCTTACACCCACCCAAGATGTTTGCATAATTACTGGAAGGGAAGGTGCATATTCAGTCATTGTGCTTTATTGTGTAGCCGCAATTCATAACCCAGGATCCAAAAGCTCATGTGTGGGAGAAAAACTTACATCTTCAATGTCACAAACCTTAAACTGACATTTAGCATTTTTATGTTATAAATACAAACAGCAAACCAAAGTATTAACAGTACTGTGACTGTCATCGATGGAGGTCACTGATCATTTTATCCTGTTACAGTTGTCCTATTGGTAAATAAATCAACATTATCACTTACACTCTTCATGTCAAAGTGACAGCAGTTGTAAGACAAAGTTAGATCATGTTACTTAGTAAGTTAATAAATACATATATTATTGGATTGATTTAATTTTTGAGAGATTTTTACTATAGAGCACATGTGCTCACCAGAGACAGAAATCAAATTACCTCTCAGGGGAATGGCCACACTGCAGTCCCTTCTCCTTCCTTCTCCTCCCAGGATCTTGGGTATGTATGCACATGTGCCCAGTGTGAGCTTGAAGCCACCGGGTCCAGGACTTGAATCGTGGTCAGCTATGTGAGAGTCCAGCAATGTAACCGCTATGCCATCTGCTGGCCCCAGGAGGAATTTATTTTTTTAATAATTTATTTTTTGAATAATGCTTTAATGTAGTTGGTGTCCTTGTTAATCCTACGCAGTACTTTTTATTGTTTTCATTTTAAGTATTATCCTGATAAAAGGTGTGTAGACTTTACAGACTCCCAATGGGGTCTGTGGTGTGAAAAAAATGAATCCTGAATAAGGAAATTTCCAAACACCAAACCTGTCATTTGGCAGAGGTACCATTAGGGGGCAGGGCAACAATAGGAATGTGAGTTCCGGGCTGCAAAGTCTCAAAGGCACAAAGGTATTCAGAGTCCCTCTGGGCCAAACCTGTGACCATTGAATGCCAGGGTTGGGAGGGTCTTCTAGATCAAGCTTCCAGGATATTGTCATCTGGGGGAAACAGAGGCAGGCGGGGCCAGAGCCTGAACAAGTAGGACTCGAGCCAGGACCACGGCACCCTGTTTTCTCCCCACCGCAGCCCGCCGGGCTGAAGGGAAACGGAACCACTTTCTCCTTGACTTTGCCCTGTTCCCTTCCTACTCTAGACAGTGGAGAAGACAGTGGAGCACCTGGAGGCAGAAGTGAAAGGACTCCTGGGCCTGCTGGAGGAGCTGGCCTGGAACCTGCCCCCAGGGTCCTTCAGCCCAGCCCCTGACCTCCTTGGAGATGGTAAGCAGCTCAGGTGATGGAGGGGACAGCCTCTGGGCCTCTGACATTCATCTGGAGCTGGGCCAGCAGGATGTGAGATGCTTGTTCCACTGAGTGGATGCAGCCTGGGCAAGCAGTGAGAGGCCCTCGGGGACATAAGCAGCCCTACCCGGGGTTCCTGCAGCCCGCGGGCAGCTCAGGATTTTTGGGAACACTGGCCCCCGTTCACCTGAGATGCATTCTCAGCACAAACTGGAAGAGGAGTTGCCTCCTTTACTGGCCTTTTTCATGCCTCAAATTTCCTCAGTTCCTTTCATTTCGCTTCTGAGATGCGCTCCTGTCCCACCTCAAAATTGGATCCCACTGCACACCCTCCTTGAGCCACATGTTCCTTGGCATTGGAGTTCCCAAGGGAATGGGAAGGAGGGAAGGAAGCTGCTGGGCACCCCTAGGATGAGAAACCTGTCAGAACCGCCCTGCTGTGAGCTCACTCTGAAGCCGCCCCTTTATTTTTTTCTTTTTTTGAGAGAGATTTTTGCTACAGGGTGCCTGTGCTTACCAGAGAGCGACAGACAGAAAGTAAGAAATCATCCCCAAGGAGGAAAGGCCACACTGCAATCTCTTCTCCATTCTCCTCTTGGGGTTTTGGGCACGCATGCACATGTGCCCAATGAGTTTTAAGCCTCTAGGTCCGACCCTTGACCTGCGGTCGACTATGTGGGAGTCCAGCGACGTAACCATTATGCCATCTGCTGATCCTGAGGCCGCCCCTTTCTTTCAGAGCACTTGGGAGCATCAGAGGCAGAGGGGCCCAGCAGCTGGAGGTGATGCACCTGTTGGATGACACCCCTCCGAGAAGAGTTGTTTTCTACATTCCTCCCCTGGCTTTGTGTGAAATAAACACTACTCCTCTGGTCTCTGCGTCTACTGAGAGGGATCTGTAACCACGGCCCCTTCTCTACCTACTCCCATGCTGAGGCCGCATCCCCCTCGGGGCTCAGACATGGGAGCCCCTCATCGTGTGTCGCCCTTCACTTATAGGGACAGACAAGGCAGGGACTGGGTAAGGCACCTGAGGCCCAGGGTTGTAATAGGACAGAGGAAGGGCCCCTCGCTCCTCAAACACGGCCACCAATGAGCAGCAAGGGCATCATCACCTGGGAGTCTATCAAAACGTGAGTCCCACCCAGACCTGCCGAATCAGAATCTGCATTTTTCTTTCTTCATTTACAGAGGGCATGCACACTCTCCAGAGAGAAAGAAGAGAGGGAGAAAGCACACCTGCCCCCGCCCCCAATACACAGTGGAGCATGATCGTGCCATAATCCCTTCTCCATTTCCCTGTCGTGTACGGAAGTGAAATATGCACACTTAGGTGCCAGTGTTTTTCAGGCGGCCAGGGCTGGGATTCAAACCATGCTGTTGGTCATGTGGAATCCAGCTCCCTTAACCCTTAGGCCAAGGACCAGCCCCAGAATCTTCATTTTAGTGATTCCCCAAGGGATTTTTGTGTCCATTAAAGTTTATTGTTTTAAAATTTTAATGGGGTAAAACTCACATACCATAAAATTCACCATCGGAATCCTTCAACTATATAAATTCAGTGGCTTCCAGCACATTCACAGCATTGCATAATCATCATCACTGGCTGATTCGGGAACATCTTTATCACCCCAAACAAACCCTGTACCTACTAAGCAGTCACTTCCTATTCCTCCTCCCACCAGACCCCTGGAAACCACTGATTTGTCTGCCCCTGTGGACTTGTCTATTCTGGGCCGTTCATATAAATGGAATTATACCATACATACAATATGTGGCCTCTGTGTCTGGCTCCTCCCACAGAGCATGTTTTCAAGTTCATCTATGTTGTAGCGTGCATCAGTACTTCATTCCTTTTTTATTTTTTGGAGAGGTTTTTGCTATAGGGCACGTGCACTCACCAGACAGACAGACAGAGACACAGACACAGAAAGTGAGAAATCACCCCCCAGGGGGGATGGTCACGCCACAATCCCTTCTCCTCCATTCTCCTCTCGGGATCTTGGACACGCACGCACACGTGCCCGGCGTGAGTTTTAAGCCACCGGGTCCCGGACGCAAACTGCGGTCGACTACGTGGGAGTCCAGTGACATAGCCATTATGCTAACTGCTGGTTCCCAGTACTTCATTCCTTTTTAGAGCTGAATGTTTCATTGTATGGATATACCACATTTTATTCATCTCATGGATGGACATTTGTCTGTACATCTTTTTGGCTAATGTAAGGCTGCTATGAACATACATGTATAAATGTTCATGTGAATATATGAGGGATCTTTAAAACTTCATGGAAAATGTGTATTATGAAAAAATTACACATGGATTTCAGAATTTTTTAATACCAAAATTAACTCAGAATTTAATCCCACATTTTCACATAGTTTTTGAAGTTCACGCATGTGTTTTCAATTCTCTTGGGTTTATACCTAGGAATGAAACTGCTAAGCCAAATGGTAACTGTTCAACCTTTTGGAAAACCATCAAACTGTTGCACATAGCAGCTGTACCATTTTACATGCCCATCAACAATGATAGTCATGGGCCTTTCACAGACACCCTCTATCAGGTTGAGAAATCTCTCTTCTATTCTTGGTTTGTTGAGTGTTTTATTATAAAAGGGTGTAGCTGTGTGGAGGAGTCCGACCTGGTGAGGCCCCAGGATCTGTCTGAGCCCCCTGACCTTTGAGCTCCGCTTCCGGTAGGATCAACACGTTGGCAAGGCTACTGTTGTGCACCCCCCGACCTTGGAACAAAGCTTGGGTCAGTTAGCATGTCAGCAAGGCTGCTTGCTATTTGCTCCAGAGAATTGAGGCAGCCTATTACTTACTATTAATTACAATGCTTTACCTCCGTGGTCACAATAGAGGGTGGGCTGAAGTTCTTTCTAGGCAGAAGTAATCTTGACCTTTGGAAGGCCCTTAAATTCTTCCTTTCTTTATGTAGAATAGGATTAGGCCAAAACTGGCCCAGGACACCTCTCTGCCCTCTCCAAGTGAAATAGATAAATATATTAGGATTCCTCAAATTAATTTTTAGATCCCTACAAAACTGTGTAAGTATCATTCTTTATTAAGATCCGTAAGAACTAATATCTATTCTTGAGATTTTCTTTTCTCAGCACCATTCCCAGTAATCACAAGATGGCTCCTGCACCGCATCTGCTTACCGGAACCGCTTTCCCGAAACTGCATTCCATGGAGACCCACCTACAATTGCGGAACTGCACTAGACCCACCCTTAATCAAACCCTGAATAGAATCTTTGTTCTCTATTGTTAAAAACTTTATGAGCTGTTAATTGAAACACTAGCCCCTCTCCCTTTACTTGCATGTAACACGTTTTCAATAAAAACGCACGATGATTCCTAGCAGTCGTCACTCCTCAGAGAGCGATCTCTGAGGGGTGTCCAGCATAGGACGTGCATGAAAGGCATCGAGGCCTGTCTTCTGTTCACCTTCGCCGCCTTCGTCGAGATAACCCACCCACGCCGAGGCTGGACCCCGGCAGCTGTGTTTTTTAAAATGCTCTTTCTGCACCAATTGAGATGGTCACATGGTTTTTCCCCTTTCATTTTTATTGATAACAAGTATAATATTGACTTTCTCATATATTTGACAGTTTCTGCATTCCTGGGATAAATCCCACTTTTAATATGCTGCTGAATTCAATTTGCAAGCATTTCGTTGAGAATTTTTGTACCAATAAGGGACATTGGTCTGCAGTGTTCTATTCTTGTGATGTCTCTGGCTTTAACAGGATAATACTGTTCTCAAAGAATCAGCTAGAAAATGTCTCCTCCTCTCATTTTTTCGGGGTGGGGGAGCGGAATAGGAGGAGAGTTTGAAAAGGATTGGTATTACTTTTTCTTTAAACCAGTGAATTCACCAGTAAAGGAACCTGGCCTCAGGCTTTTCTTTGCCAAGTGTTTAATCACTGATTTAATCTCCTTACATGTTATAGCTCTATTCAGATTGTGGTCTATCTGGAGAATTTTCAATGTGCACTTGAGCAGAATGTGTTTTCTGCCATTGTTGGGTGAAATGTACTATACTTGTGTGTTAGGTTCAGTTGGTGTAGTATTCAAGTTTTGTTTCCTTGTTATCCTTTGTCTAATTGTTCTATCTAATTGAGAAAGTGGAGTGTTGAAGTATGTAACTATTATTATTTTAATAGGGGAGAGAGGAGGAAAAGAAAGATTTAAGTAGGTTTTATGAACAGAGTTTCACCATTGGGATCCTCTTGCTCAACATCCAAGTTAGTTAAAATTACAGGCACATGCTAACATACCCAGGCAGTTTAGGTTGGTCTGAGAAGCAAACACAGGCCTCCCATGCTGCTTTAGCCTCGTGTAACAGCACCTATCACTTGTGCACCATGGATTTTTAAACTATTTCTCCTTTCTATTCTGTCAATTTTTGTTCAAACTTTTTGGGCTTCCACAAATGCATACATGTTTATAATTGTTATATGGTCATGGATTGACCCTTTTATCAGGATATAATAGCCTTTGTCACCTGTACCATGCTTTTTAAATTTGTCCTGCCAATCTCTACCTTTTAATTAAAGAATTTATTCCATTTACATTTAAAGTAATTACTAAAGTAATTTAAAGTAATTACTATTCTTAGAATTGCTCCTCAGTTTGGGGCCTGCAGGTGGTGTGGTGGTTAAGGGTGCTGGACTCACACATGGCTGACTGTGGTCGAGTCCCGGGCCTGGCAATTTGTTTTCTCACTTTCTCTCTCTCTCTCATTCACTTTGTCCCTCTCTGGTCAAATTAAAATAAAGTTTAAAAAATTGTACACATTCATGGGAGTGTGATATGATTTTTGAAAAAAAAATTGCTCCTCAGTTATTCCATTATCACATTTTTATGTTATAGACGGCTTCAAGTATTCATTTCGATTACCTTATTTCTTTAACTTTTTAAAGTAATTTTCTTAGTGATTTCACTGGGATTACAGTTAACATCTTAATGTTTAATAATCTAGTATGAATTAGACCAAGTTTCAATAGTATACAAGAGGTCCATTCCTATATACAGTTCCATCATCTGCTCTTACATTGTTATTGTTCTAAATTGCATTTTTTTTTTCTTTTTAGAGAGATATTTTTGCTCTAGGGTGTGTATGCTCACCCTAGAGAGAGATAGAGAGGCAGAAAATGAGAAATCACCTCCAGGGGGAATGGCCACACCACAGTCCCTTCTCCTGCATTTTCCTCTCAGGACTTTGGGCATGTATGCACATGCACCGGGGTGAGTTTTAAGTTACTAGGTCCTGGACTCCAACCGCAGTCAACTATGTGGGAGTCCAGTGATAAAACTATTATGCCATCTGCTAGTCACCCCCAAGCTACATCTTTATACATTTTGTACCCATTGACTTAGTTACAATGACTGTGTGGCCTGGTTGTCTTTTAAATCATACAGAAAAAAAAAGTTATAAACCAAAAAAATCATTAATACTGACTTCTATATTTACCTGCTGCCAAACTAGGCAGTGGTAGATAGGTTAAGCTGGAATGGAACAATAGGGTAAGCTAAGAATGCAACAATTTTTACTGAATTCAGCTTTTCTTTTTCTTAAGAATTTGTCTGATTATTGTATACTTTCAATCAATTTTGAGTTCCAATACTGTTGATTCTGACTGTTTTTACCAGCTTACTTGATGCTTTGGGGAAGGGACAGATTTCTCAAGTTCTATACTACACCATTTTTGCTGATCACATTAAAGTTTAAGAAATTCTGATCTGGTCTACCCCTGTTTGACAAAGGCCCAAAGAGGGGAAGCGATTTATCTAGAGTCACACAGCAAATCAATGTCTGCATTTAGATCAGAATAGGGATTTTTGGCCTCCAGTTCAGAGCTCTT